AGGACGAAACACAAAGCCAACAAATTACAAGGAACCGATGATAAATGCGAGATTTGAATAACCCAATAATACGATATTAGGAGGATTTAATAACTACAATAATGTGACTAATTGTATGGTTCAACAAAAAAGGCTACATCCCCCCTCCCTCATTTTCTTTTGGTTTCTAACTAGAAATAAGAATAATTTGAGATTCGCTTGTCCCATCAAATACATAGTTTTCACAAAATTCCAAATATCAACCGATGCTTACCTTACCCATAATACAATGTCCTCCCTTATGCCTATCCTATCCACATCCTTAGTTGACTGATGAGAGAGCAAACGAAACCGATTTTTCATTGTGTACAAGTCAGAAACTTCTGGTGATGGTTGTGAGGAAATGACCTACTGTTGGTGTTGCTTGGTTCATCATTCTGATTGTGGCTGGCAACAACACATTGTGTACAAGTCAGAAACTTCTGGTGATGGTTGTGAGGAAGTGACCTACTGTTGGTGTTGCTTGGTTCATCATTCTGATTGTGGCTGGCAACAACAAACACCCATAAAGTTCATGTCCACTTCCCTGAAAAGAAGGCGGAAAAGAAAATTAATGGACCTTCTTAAGAGTTGAGAATCATTTTGAGTATCTTCTACTCAACAATCACCATCCCAAAGTTTTTTCTACCACACAAAATAAATTATTAATACTTTAATGTCAGACATTGTGACATTAGCTTTCTCATATGCAATCATCATACTTCAAGCTAAAAAGAAGCATCAAGTATGCACTTCACCGGTCCAGTCCAAAGTGATTTTTCATAGGTTTTGTGGGGCATAGAACTATAAATTAGGGTTCCATAGGCTGGCTGCAAAAAAAGTTTCAAATGAATCAGATTGAATGTCTTTTTCTAGTATTAAATTCTGCAGCAATGTGAACCCACTATATTGGCCATTAGGAAGGTCTAATTTCACTTTTGGGTCGTAGATGGGGAAGGTGAGGGTTGGATTTTGTCTGTCTCTTTCGCATTCTGGCACTCCCAAACAAAATCTCTACCTGCGGCTCCTCCTCTAACAATGGTTCAGGGTTAAATTGGGGAACAGAAAAGAAGGGTGGGATTTTGTAACACTTTATTAATATCAAAATTCCTGACTTTCATCATTGAGTTTGGAATGGAACATTCATGAATCACACACACATGAATCACAATCAAAACCAAATATTCCCGAAGAGAAGACCAGTGATTGAATTGAAGACGTCAAAGTTAAGAGAGATTGTCCCATCCTTCCAGTAGTATAGTTAACCAGTTGAAAGTTATGTCCTTATAATCTACCAAACATAAAAATCCATTTTACCGGCCAAAAAGTCTGTTCAAGAAGCTAGTGTCTCTTAAACTTTATAAGTTCATATTACGAGCGAAAGATTCCCCTTCGATTGAGCTCGAAGGGGTTTCGATTGTTGAAATTATGAATTAAATTTGGTGAACACAACTCAAATGGGTGCAATCAGTCACCAAACAAAAGGGAATGAATATAGAAAATCAAAACCAGGGAGGGGGCACAATTTTCCAGTATACACATGCAGAGCCACAGACATCGTGAGGATAATATATACCTATTTGATGCTACCAAGCTAGCTAACTCGGTAACCAATAAGAGACTCAGCTAGGAAGGTGATTAGGAACTTATTAATCAAGCATTCTCCTGATTATTCTCTGATTATGCTTGCTTTGCTATGGATGAGGGATGATCAAGTACTTAATTAAATTAGTACCATATAGTCTGGTACACGAATCTTCCCATGAAAATAGGATTTTGTGTGAGCAAAAAGTGCCATCGACTCCACTCAAAAACCTAGGATTAGAGATAATCAATAATTAAATCAAGGGTTGGCACTCGAGAAATTTCCATGTACTGGTTTCATCGCTCCTCTCTTTCTATCTTTCTTTTCAGGATCCCACGATGTTAATCATATAATTAAGAAGTGACACTTAATTAATACTTATTAATCCAAACAATAATTGTTAATTATTATAGTGGTTTTTTTTTGGGTGCCCCATATACATTATGCACTTTCATTTATATATATACTTGTGCTATGAGCAGTTTTTCTGTAAAAATATATGTATTGTTAATTCAAAACTTGGAGAGTTGAAAATAGTTATGATTATTTAAGAATTAATCTGTCTGAAGTGTGACAAATATAATTAATTAATTAATATAACATCCCGTATACATGGTGAGGAGGAATGTATGATGGATCAGTCACTCATAACCACGTCTCGGGGCCATATTTTTTTAAAAATTAGGAGCCAACTATGCTGGGCGCATGATATATAGCTGTCCTATAACTTCAAGTATGGTATCAATGGTAATGATTTCTTTGAAAACAATCCATGCATTATGTAAAATTAATGTGAACTAAATTAAACAAGTTTGACTTAAAACATTATCAACAGTTTTATATATGTAGTGTGTAGTTGCCATATAGGAGGATGAGGTGGTTATTTGACTTGCACCTTTCCATTACTATGGCTAGCTAGGAACATGGAAGTTTGACAAACTGTTTGATTGGACCAACCCTAGGCTGATCTTCTTTATGACCCACAAAGGAAAAAAAAGAAGAAGAAAAACTAGGCATCAATTGGATTTTCCTCACCCATATATATATATATATGAACCAAGGGCGCATTTTTGATATAATTTCGTTTATGTTGTGACAGAGAATGGTGAACTCGTCGCTCTAATGGTTACTGATGCGCTCATATTCAAGTACGGAATTCGAATGCTATAAAAATTGTGGTATGTAATTTATTGCGAGTCTAATCAATCAACTACGCAAGCATGCTTGCTATGCGCTCATATTCAAGTACGGAATTCGAATGCTATAAAAATGGTGGTATGTAATTTATTGCGAGTCTAATCAATCAACTACATAAGCATGCTTGCATGATTGGAATCACATTCCTCTTATGTTATCGGCATAAATTCAGCTAAAAAACAAGTTGCACATTAACAATTTTACACCCACGGCTTTACTTGTTCTTCAATAAAACGGATCAACAAAAGAAGGGAGAGGGAGGCAACTTTTGAAGGTGCAGGCTGTAAGAAGAAAAGCAGGGTACGTAGAGGCCTAAAGCCTATAGGCCGCCATGGCAACTTGATTCAAGTCAAGAGATGAAGCTCTGCGACTTTTTCTGGAAGTCAGGTTAAATAATGCATGACATGAGGAAACAAGGACATACATATCTGTATTGGGAAATTATTCGTCCAGATATATTTAATAATTCAATTAAACAGTGATTGGTTTTGCTTAAATAATGGATTGAAAATGAAATATATATATATAAAAAATATTTTTTTTAAAAAGAAAGTCTATGGTTTGTTTAAAACATGATTGGGTGGGTGGTGGGATTATTATACTGGACCAAAAATAGGGGCTTTAAACAGAGTTTCACAGGGCCATGTGGGTTATGCTCTGGTCAGGAAAGATGCCCATTGGCCAATTGCAATTTGCATTTCTCTCATCAGAGTCAATGAATAAAAGCGTGCACAAAATGTGGCTCATACGCAATTTTAGCCTAAGGGGGCCAAATCCCTCTTTACTAGCATCACACGGCGGTGAGGCTTTTATTCTTTATTTTTATCTTTTATTTTTTAATCAATGAGTGACAGGATGACAAAAGAGTCGGATATGCCATTACCATCCCCATTTCGTTTCACTTTCATCTTCATTGAGTATTAAGTTCTCACCCCCCACAACGAAAAGAAGCATTATGAGATTAACATACGTATATATACAATTTTTCGGCAACTGAATATAACTTAGACAAATTAATACATATAAAAACTATGAAATTAAGTAATATCATAAATTTGAAATGGAAAACAATAACACCAATTGGATCCACTAAAATAATGTAAACTCTAAATGAGACAGAATTTGGATTGGGATTATTAGAAAATTTTCCCAAACATGGCTCTATACCGGTTTCTATCATACTACCCAATTCCATTGCCGACAAAATCCCCTAATTCTTACACTGAGACAAATTTAAGAACTCGAAAAAGAAAAATATCACTAAATTAAAAGCTAATCCATCATGTCTGTGAGTGGGGTTGGCTGTGGTCTTAGCGAGCTTTACGGGTGGTACTGGCAGTGACATTAGCATTGTACAAAAAGTATACGAAGCTGTTAAAAAAATGGATGCCATGGCCCAATGGAGGCATTGACTTTTTCCATATTAAAAATTAATTTGGGTGAGGTTCGAGTTTGGACTGCCTCGACTTTCTCTATATATAAACGCCTCTGCATTTAATCCCAACACTGACTTGGTGATTGCTTCTAAGTTATATTTCAATCCCCACGTCATATATCTCTATCTTCAGCTCACCTCCATTATTGTAATCCCTCTGTTTCTTTGTCTCCTTTCTCTTCTTCTTCTTCATCTCTGGCCTAAGTTTCAGTTTCAGTTACAGTTTCAGCCTCTTGTTTTCAAATCCTCTGCATTTTGAAAAGACTCTGTTTTTGAACCTGGATCCTTCCATTTCCCCCAATCTTCCTTAACAACACATCAAAAAAATCATTTCCATTATGTAATCCAGTCTTTTCAATCCAATCCCACAAAACCCATTTCTCAAAAAAAACCAAAAAAAATTTCAATTTGATTGCTTGTATGAATCTTTAGAGTTATCTTTATAGTGGGCACTCTGGCTCTGCTCGTTTCTTCTATCCCTTAGCTACACATTTATAAAAAAACCTCCGAAGTATGTAACTTTCAGCCTTCCCATATCCAAATTCCCCAACCCAAAAACCAAAAAAACAAAAAAAATCTTTAGCTAAATTTATTTTCAATATGTACTAGCTGTAGTTCTTGGTGTCACCCGCCCTGGCCAGTATCAAAAAGCTCGTGTAGCAACAATTTTATAAAAATCATCAAATTATGTAACTCCAATCTCTAATTCTCATAACCCAATTCCTCAAAAACCCAAAAAAAAAAAAAAAAAAAAAATCTTGTTTTTCTATCATATTGAGAAAAAACCAAAAAAAGAAGAAGCTAGGGATGCCGGAATCGGAGCCAGTGACCCCTTCGGCGTCGGCGCCGGCGACGCCTGGGACTCCAGCGCCGCTGTTTTCAGGGCCGAGAGTGGATTCTATGTCATATGATCGCAAGTCAATGCCGCGGTGCAAGTGCTTGCCTGTGAACGCTCGCACTTGGGGTCAATCTCACACGTGCTTCACCGACTTCCCCACTCCCACTGTCTCTCTCACCCGCAAGGTATGCAACCACTAGCTACAGGCAACATTTGACAGTTTTGATCATATGATCGATTGTTGGTTTGAGTTTAGGAGATGTGGTTTTTTTATTTGTTAATGACAATATAATATGTTTTTGTTAGTCATTATGTGCTTAACAACATAGCTAAATGGTCATTAAGCTTTTTAGGCTTTTACGCTTTTGAGCTTTGATGCTTTTGCTTAGCTTGGAATGACTAGGATAACCCATAAAGGAGATTCTGTTTGTTTCAGCTCTTGCTTCGTCAGTTCATTGTGTTGTCAGAGAACATAAACTTGTGAGTATGGAGATTCTTACTCCACCTCATAATTCAGATTAACAAATTAACAGCTTAATAACATAACATGTCGAGTGAAAAGTAATTGCGGTGGATAGAGTTTTCTATCCCTTCTTATGTATAACTTTGTATTTGGTAGATGGAAATGTTTTTATCATTAGGTGGATATGATTTCGGTGTTGGGTTGACATTTCTTTTGCCAACCAAGTCTTTGCTCTCACTTCATTTTCTTTCCCCTCCTTTATTTCTTTACTTCACGACCTTCTCTACATATAAAGCATGGAATTAGAAATTAGTAATTATCCAACATCGTCGGAAATATATATATGGCATGCAACAAGAATATCACTTTTTTGTGTAAGATATAGACACAAGGCTAGATATTTATGTAACGGATAAACGAAAAATATTGAAGTTGTGGATTGTGCCGGGTCTTTAATAATCTTTAACAAACCTGTTTGTTCATGAAAATCTGTTTGTACCTGGTTTTTTCTGTTCAAGATGGCTGCACCTGCATTTAAACTAAACCACACGAAACTTTTTTCAGATAATTAAACACCCAAGATGAAAGGGATGTAAAATCCTCCAACTTGTGTCAACTTTCGATTCGTTGTTAATTTACTTTAGATTTTAAAAACAATTGATGTGATAAAATTGGGGTTTATAATTTAAGCAAATTTTCCATTCAAGACAAAAAAAAAACATTTCTTGATTTTTTGTGTGTGCATTATTGTGCTTGCGGAATGACGTATTTTTTTTACTGTTGGATGGAAACGTGGAGTTGCAAAAGTACAAAAAAGATAAAAGATAAAAGATATTATTATTTTGGTAGAAAGATAATTCTTTGTTCAACTCTCTCAACACAAATAAATTAAATAAATTAAATATTTTCACCTAACCCTTAAGCGACTTGGTCAATTCTTAACAAACCCATAATTTGAATAAAAATATGGATATATATATATATACACGCATGCATGTAACGTCGTATATGTGAGTCACTAAAACATGACAGCCCAATTTTATCAGTGAGTCTCCTGCCTTATTCCAACCACGACTTGGTCAATTCTTAACAAACCCATAATTTGAATAAAAAAATGGATATATATATATATACACGCATGCATGTAACGTCGTATATGTGAGTCACTAAAACATGACAGCCCAATTTTATCAGTGAGTCTCCTGCCTTATTCCAACCCCACAATTAAAATATATCCAGGACGGTTCTACTTGTAACCAAATCTGGTAGGGTTTGGTCCACCTGCATTTTTTGTTATATTAGCGAATTCAAGAACAAAAAAGACTACATGTCGTAACTCGACCATCACGACGACAGTGGAAAATTAATTTTCTTTTTGGAGAATTTGCTTGTTGTGATGAGGAACACTCGAACATACATTGCTTTTTGTTTGTTTTGTTAAGAAGCTAGGACCACTCATTGTGCGAAGCACTTTTTTACTGATGGATGGATGGATGGATGGATGGATGGTGGATATGAGACCTAAGAAATCAAAAGAAGCTAACCCTAGTCCATGTTTATTGGTCAAAAGCTTGTTGTTTATGCACCAAGAATATTACATGTTTTTGCACTAAACCCTGAACCCAATTGACAATGGGTACGGGAGAAGCTCATAACGTGTTATATTATTATGCAAGGCTTTTCTTTTCCGATGTGGGAAAATACTCTCTCTGATCGAACCTACGATACGTATTATATTCAGCTAGGAGCTGAGTTTGTCGGAACCTTCATCCTCATGTTTGCAGCAAGTGCCGGACCAATTGTGAACCAAAAGTACAACGGCGCAGAGACGCTGATCGGCAATGCGGCATGTGCTGGACTTGGGGTGATGATCGTGATCTTGTCCACGGGCCATATCTCTGGTGCGCATCTAAACCCATCTCTCACCATTGCCTTTGCTGCCCTGCGTCACTTCCCGTGGGTTCAAGTCCCTGCCTACATTGCTGCTCAGGTTTCAGGCTCCATTTGTGCCTCATTTGCTCTCAAAGGAGCTTTCCATCCGTACATGTCGGGCGGCACGACGGTGCCTACTGTGAGCACTGGCCAGGCCTTTGCACTTGAGTTCATCATCACTTTCAATCTCCTGTTTGTTGTCACTGCTGTTGCCACTGATACCCGCGCTGTAAGTATATATACATTGAATGCAATTCGATTATTCACATAACATATTCTTAGCATTAATCTATCTTTTCCCATGTGGGGGTGAATTTTTGGTGACATGCAGTTAGGAGAGTTGGCTGGTTTAGCAGTTGGGGCTACTGTCATGCTGAATATTCTTATTGCAGGGTTAGTACTTAAATTAATTATATGGCACCTCTCTCTCTCTCTCTCTCTCTCTCTCTCTCAGAATGCTTATTTATATTCTCTAATTACATGGGCCACTACTAAAAAAGTGAAAAATGCTCGACGAATATCATATTCGGAATATGAATTAATATTAGATTCTTATCAACATGTACTTGAAAAAGGGACCCATTATGGAAGCCACATCTGATCTATACATCTCTGATTACAAACAAACAAACAAACAATCAAAAGCTTGTCATATGTTCGTTTTGTTTTGGGGTTTAGGGGTCGGCAAGTTGGCAGTTCATGGGCAATCCAGAAGGGTCATGACTCATTCGTTATAACAAATAATTTTCATGCACGCTGGCGAAACGTCACATTATTTTGAAGGGAGAAGTTGGGTGTGGTGTGATGTTTGTTTCTGTTATCATTTTATCATTTAGCTGCTTAGCCCTACACTGAAAGCTTGATAGATAAAAGATTCCAAACGGACTGTAGTACTAATAATAGCGATAACAATAATATTAATATTTGTTTTTGTTTTATTTTGTCCTGGCAGGCCATCGAGTGGTGGTTCAATGAACCCTGTCCGCACCCTAGGCCCGGCTGTGGCCGCCGGAAACTACACCAAATTGTGGATATACCTGGTGGCCCCCACCCTTGGAGCCCTTGCCGGGGCAGGTACCTACACGGCAGTGAAGCTCCGTGAAGATGAGGTGGACGAGCCTGTGCGCGAGGCCAGGAGCTTCCGTCGCTAGATGGATATAAGAGGAGTGCATATGCAGGAATATAATCTCTTGTCAGATAATTCAACATGTTATGTTATTCGACCGTTAATCTAAGTCACATTTATTGATTAACAGTTTGATAACATAACATGACGAACATAAGACAAGAGAATATTCCTTTATATGCATGGTCCTTGCAATTATGTATGAATTATAGGAAGATTTGATGATAGTGAAGTGATAGCTTAAGACAGATTTTATAAAGAATAAGGGCGGGCTGGGAATATAAATATATATATAGGATGTGACACAAAGTCTTTCCCCTCCCCTGGCCCGCGACTTTTCACTGTAAAATAGTGTGCGTGTTTGGTGTGCGCGACGGGCATCATCTCACAAGGGTCGTTGTCTTGGATGGACGCCTTTGAAACGTATGTGATTGGTGTTTGTCCGGGGCCCTTTGAGAAGACTTTGGATTGGCTCTGTTCGTTTGCTTTGTGTGATGCTTTCTTTTTCTTCTTCTTGTTTTGGGTATGGAAAGCAAACTGTGTATATTGCTTTCTCTATTATATCATCAATAAAACTGCATTATAATACATTGCTTCTTCTTAATATTATTATAACTTAGAAGCACCCTGCGTGCGTGTGTGTATATATATATTGTTATAAAATTAGAGGAAGAAAATGTAGAGAGAAGTGATATGCTAAAGATAAAGTTTCACTATGTTTATTCTTTTCTTAATCTTTGGTAGAACCACCTATTTATAGGCTTACAAGATAAGAAATTGAATACCATCATTTACAATATATCTATAGGTTTTTGGTCAAGATATATCTATAGGTTACAAGCACAAATTACAAATACTTAGTGCATAGATTACATAAAATCCAAAGGTAGAATACTAAGAGATATGGTGGTCATCCACCAACTCATGCATTCACAACACTCCCCTTTGGATGTTCACCATACAATAACATAGTTCCCTCATTAAAAACCTTGCTTGGAAAACCTAGTAGGACAAAACCAAAGCGAAGAGAAAAAGAGTGAAACTTTCTTCTAGATCATTGATATGGTGTTGGATGCACTTATTTTGCCTCGTTAAAACATTGTTAGGAAAAACTCAGTGGGACAAAAACCTAGTCGAAGGGAAAAAGAGTACAACACTCATATGTCCTGTATGTAGTAGAATTGGGATGCTCCCCTGATTGATATCTCTCCCTGATTAATATCTCCCCTTAATTTTTATTAACTTTTGGAATTTAGGCTTCAGAAAAAGTTTTGGTAAAAAGGTTCGCCAGATTATCTTGTGAACGAATTTGTTTAACTCCAATCTCTTGACTTTTTTTTTTTTCCTGAAACTATGTCACCCTTGATGAACCCTTATCTGATTTGAGCAATACAAGCAACATTATCTTCATACATGATCATCTATCACACTATTCAACCTGCTTTTCGCTTTTCAAATGATTGAACTCTTTAGGAGCATCAACAACTAATTTAATAGTTAGAATATGTTACAACAATATCAAATTTGAATTTAAAATACTCAAACTCTTAGTGTTAACTTTTAAATAAGAGTATTGTGGTACTTTATATCTTTCAAAGGGTCGCTTCATGTGATATATCTCAAATATTTCATGAGCTTTGAGGATCTTCATGTACCATATAGTCTTAATAAATATGCATTTAACACATGTTATAAGTTTCGCGTTAAAATAACACATGTACTTATAGAAATGTGGATGCATCTCTGATGAGATGAGAGACTAAAACCATGTCTCTACCAGGAAACCTTATGTCATATTAGGGATCTTATTTCACTTCACAAGCATCAATTCGCAACATTCATACTTAACATTTGTAATTTGGTGTTTGAGCTATAGGTTCAATATCCCACACTTCATATTTAGTGATAAATGGAATTGCCTATTTCCATTTTGGCCAATCACTTAAATTGTCGACATTCAAAAGGCGATTTAATATAATCATAGCCCTTGATGATTATAGTAGCTACTAATAAACCAGATGTATCATCAATTTATGATCCTACAATTCTCATGTGCATGTGCATGCATAATTTATAAGAATTTCATTGCTTTGTACCAATGTATCTTCAGGAGCTGATGTTGTCACTTATAGGACAAACATCTCTTTTACGATGAATTAATTAGAATATATGCATCATAACCTCATATAGAGTGAAACTACCCGACCCAAATTCCACATTGAAATCCGGGCCGAATCCTGTTTAAAACTGACACCTGGTAACTGTGGATCGTAAAAGACGAAAATACCCTGAAAACAATAACATAAACCCTGAGCCCCTAACTCGTGGCTGCGCCTAATAACTGTAGGCTGCCTACGTACCCTTACTGAGGGATCAAGCCACACGTAGTTCTTTCCTCTGTTCCTGACCTGTAACTGAACTGTTT